TTTTTAATTATTATTAGTAATATAATAAAGCACACAGATTTATTAACTCTCACGTAATGTTTTCATTTTTATTTGAGTTCTCATGGTCTCTTAGTTACCATCTGTAAGAAAGAAGACAAGGGAATACCACTGTTAGGATTTAATACATGTGATCCTAGCAATATGTCATGTATAGCTTATTATTCAAACAAATTACTATTTGTCCCTTTTCTACTCTCTTTAAGTTTCAATTCACTTTTCAATATAGTATGTTAGCGTATATAGGTTCTGAAACTATGAATGACCTGTCATGTATAGCTTATGTTTATGCGCTAACTGTAGCTTATAAAACATTCATGCGATGGTAGCTATCTGGATCTGTTTCCAAAAAATGGTTGGCTAGCATTTTAGCAATAATAAATCCCTCAATTATAATTTAAAGCGTTAAATTTAGTTCAAATTGTAGACATTATTTATTGAATATGGCTGTAATACTTTGTGAAGACTTTAATATTCATAACATCCATTATCTTGTTTATAAACCTTCATTAACCAACCTTCTACCACACCAAATTTATAAAAAGAAATTGAAAATTATTTCAATTGTTTTTATAGGCCTTAGTTTAATTATTCCAAAGCAAATTATATTTTTCATTTTATCTTAATATTTGGCCATTATATGAGCATATGAATTCTTCAATTGGCCACCATACTGAAATCAAATGGATGGTTATGTCTGAGGATCATCCTGGAATGACATGTAACTTTGGTGCCTAATATGAACTTTAAAAATCCTGTCCAGTAGTCTTGGGAAAAATCATAGAGAGTGGTGGACAGATTTTGTTTTTTTTTAATTTGATTTTTGGATTCTACAGAAAACCTCGAATTTTGAGAGAAAGAGATTAAAATTTTTTTTCTTGGTCTATTAAAAAGGTTTGTTATTTGTTATCACTAGGAAATAAAAACATTCCAAGAAGGATCCTGTTCAAAGAGAAGTGCAATACTTCTATTCATGAAAAGGATCGCTCTTAGGAGCAAGACTGGATTATATACTGCCCACTTTTGGTTGAACAAACACGTCTTCAATCAGAAGTTGAGTTACAAATCTGCAGATTTTGCCGTATGGAGTATGGAATTATTTATCACATAATTTGGAGTTGTAATGTTTTGATTAGAATGTTGGCTGTGGCTGTATCATTGATTCTAAGTTGTGCAAATTGGCTGGTTCTAATAGCATATACTAATTCACAAACAATATTGGCCTATTTTTATAGAGTATAGAACAGCTCACAATAGGTCTCAATCAGGCTGCAGTGATACTATGCTACCAAACTTTACAACTTATTTTTAAGTCAAATCTTTAATGTAGGGCTGAAATAAAAAGAAGTTATATTTAGTTTAAATTTGATTTATTAAATTTAAGAACATATATTATACATATAAATTATAAATCTGCTTACATATTTTCCAATATTATTCTGGTTTTGTAAACTAACTAATGTATTTGAAATTTAATTTTGTATTTTTCAAAAATTGTATTATATTTTTTAAGCTGAACTGATTTCAGCTAAACCATGTAAAATAAAGCTTAGGGTAGCGTTTCCACCTTCAAAACTTCCATCCAAGAAAAATCTTTCTTTTTTTTTCTGTTACCCTGTCGTTTCTGAATAGAATTATTTAGTTTAAATTTTATTTTATTAGCTTTTATAAATATATATTTTATACATATTTATGAGATAGAGCTAAAGCTAAGACCTCTCTCTCCCTCTTCTACCTGTCAGATCATTCCTTCCATATGGACTGTTATTTCAAGTTTTTAATTAATTATCAACTTTTTTTATTACATAAAAATGCAATCTCACTCTTATATGCATTCATTATTACTTTAATTCTATTGCAGTTAAAATGTACATATTTTTTTTTCTGTGCTACTATCCAATCATCAGAACATTAATTAGTCATTCTATATTCTAAAGTAAATTTAAATAAACAAATAATGAATTAAAAAATTGCAAGGCTTTTGATGATTTATTGTGATTTGTCAAACAAGAGTCAACATTAAAACATTCTTTGTATCTTAAATCTTAAATGGTCTATGAAGATTTGAAACATTTAAATAAAGAATAAAAGAACAATTTAGTCTTTTTAATAAAAGGATCCTTTATCTTTTTGTATTTTAATAGATTGATCGAAATAAATTTAATGCTATTATTCCTGGAATGTGGGATAGACAAATTTTAACTTTGTGCTTCTAGTAAAAACATGTTGAAAAACTATAATTAGAGTAAGAATATTGGCAATCATTGTTTCAAAAAATAATAATTACTTGGTTACTATTGGAAAAATCCAAACAGCCAGTAATGAGTCTCTAAAATGGAGGTAAAACAAACTAACTCATCAACGTTTTGTCAATTTAGGCATCATCAGGACAGAAAACAAACCAAATCATATATAGTATGAACTGATAGTGGATTTATAATTGAATGTCCTAGATATATTAAAGAGAAGTTGGTTAGGGTTTTCAAACAGTGAAAATAAATAAATTATATTTATTTTTATTTCCTTTGTGCTGACGTTTCGGCCTAAGAAAAGACAAAATAATATATAAATATTGAGAAACTAGTTGACGGTAATAGTGTTTATATGTTTTACATTTATTTTATCTACAAATTATTACTATTAACGTCTACTAGTTTGACATTATTTATATATTATCTTGTCTTTTCTTAGCCCTGATGAAGGCCTGAAATTAGGCCGTTCGCACAAAAATTAGGCATCGTTAAAGCCATAGACCGAAACAACAGCACAAAGGAAATAAAAATAAATATAATTTTTACTGACTGAAAACCCCCAACCAACTTCTCTTTGATAGTATTTACTTAAGAGACATAGAGTATGTGTTAGTATGTCATGGAGTGTTTTGGTCAATGTGTTTTTTTTTTTTTTTAATGTTGATGAGGGATCTGTTGAATTTTGTATTTGTACTTTTGTATTTTGTATAACATGCACACACTCATACAATTTAGGGTGTTTTTATTATGGGATCTTGAGATTTTAAAACAAAAACTGTCGAGATTCAATGTTAGGATGCCCCTGGCGAACAGTCTCAAAATTTAATTTACATATCTTTTTTAATGTTTGCTCATTTTTTTTTCTCCCCCTTACCTCACCTTTTCAGCTAAGTCTTTCTGTGCCATGGGAGAGAGTGAGGAATTAATGCCAGAGTTAATTCCCTCTGGCCTGGTTAAGGCCTCTGAGCCTCAAACTCATAATATTCAGGTAATCAGGTACGTGTCGCAAATCACATTAACCTGCTTGGCCACCCCAGCCCATGCATATTATATTTGAAATGACAGTATTTTTTATTATCCTGGGACTGTTATTCCTTTAGAACAAATTATAAATACAGAGAAAATGCTTGTGTGGCCATACATTAAATTAAATATTTGCAAAATAATATCTAATTAAAATAAAAATACAGAAAAAAAAACATATATACTAAATAAACATTGGAAAATAAAATAACATAAGTTAACAAAATAGTTTCTGGGGAACTTAAAAAGTTCTTATATGTACATTTCATGATTAATCAGTTGGGAAAGCATTAGGCGCTTTAAAAGGAGAGATTTAAATGAGGAAACTGATTGTGCATGTTGGATATTGGCAGGCGGATATCGGAGATGGATTCCAAAAGGAGGCGGCTTGAATTATAAAGGATTTGTCAAACGCAGCAGTTCGGTGAGGAGGAGGATAGAGGTCGAAAGTACGGAATCTGGTGGGGCGGGATTGAATGAAAGATTTGAATTATAGGCTCTGAATAATGTTGGAGGGTCCCTTACCTCTAATTGCCTGGTATAGAAAGATAGCAAGGAAGTATTAACGGTGGTAGGATGGATAGAGCCACTTCAACTATTTGTAATACTGGGTAATATGCATATCTCTTGAGATCCCGAAGACAAAACGTATTGAACAATTCATTAGGCGTTTAAGTTTGGCTTTGAGTTTTCCCGAGAGCACACTGTACACCAAACAACCATAGTCAAAGTGAGAGAAAACAAGCGAGGAAACAGGAGTTGATAGGTTTTGTATGGAAGGAGATAGCGTAGACGGTTGAACTGTTTCAGGGTAGAAATAGTACAACGAGAAGTTTGGGAGATTAGTGGTTTCCAGGAGAGGGTTTGATAAAAAATAACAACAAAGTTTTTAATGGAAGTATGGAACGAAATAGGTGAGTTGTTTAAGAGAAGATTAGGAGGTACAGGATTTGATTAGTGAGGAGGATCCGATAAGGATAGCTTTCGTCTTCTCAGCGTGTAGAGTGAGATTATTACGATATGCCCAAGCACAGATTTAGTCTATATCTTCCTGAAGTTTTTGTGGCACCAATATAATCAACAGGATCGAAGGAGAGGTGAATTTGGACGTCATCGGCATACAGGTGGTATGTATTGACAGTGCTGAATAGAGGACGGAAGGTCATTGATATAGATAGAAAAAAGGGTGGAAGATAATGAGGATCTCTGTGGAATGCCATTGGATAAGGGTAGAGACAAGGGGCTCTATCATACTGAGAGCAACCTGCAAGGAAGGATTGGAATCAATTAAGGTCTTTAAAAGACAAGGAGATATTTTTAAGTTTGGTAAGGAGGATATTGTGATGTACTGAATCAAAGGCTTTGGAAAAATCAAGGAGAATAAGGATAGTGAGTTTCTGTTGGTCTATAGCTGTGTGGAGATCTTGGGAAATTGTAATGAGGGCATAATGGGTAGAGTAGTCTGGTCTAAAGCCAGATTCCTGTCAGTTCAGAAGGTTATTTTTCTCGAGATAGTGGGGTAATTGGGATTGAATTAATCGTTTTAGAGGTTTGGAATTCAAAATTGAAAGAAACTTAGAAAAAGAGGAGCAAATGTGGTATTGTTGTATATCTAGAATGAGATATACATCCTGGATTAATGTTCAGGAAAATTTACTATAACAATATCGGCAGGTTCTGGACTTAAAAGAAGACCCCATCTTGGTTAAAATCCTTTACATCCATACTAGGTTGAATAAAAGATTTAACAAGAAATGAATATCCTTGTTAGATCATTGGTTAACCCAAGCTAAGTCAATTTTAATACTAAAGTACATGAAGTAGAAATCGAACAAGAAGTGGCAGAATGTAATGGACTTTCAGTTTTCTCAGGATTCTATTGGATATCTGTGCACAAGCGGATCCAGAGGAGGGGAGCGTCTCCCGCTCTCTTCCTCTCCCTGGAAATTAAGAAAAAATATATATTGAAAAAAGTAACTAAACTATCGGTACTTTTATTATTATTATTTTAATTAAAAAGTGAATTGTACTAAACAAATAATTTGTAGTTATACTTTGTACTCAAATACAACAAATAATTTAAAATAGTGTTAATATTTACCAATATAAATTCTTCATTTATTGGTGAATCAAATGAATTGTTGCTGAAAGTAGTTGCTCGAGTGCTCTGATTCCTTGGAAACTATTTTTAATTAAATTTGTGGAAAAAATTATGCAAAAATATCATGTTTTAGTTTCATAGACGTCAATTATACAGTTAAGGAGTTTTGACCACTATTTTATGGCAAAATATTAGACAAAACAAAAAACTAAAACACACACATACCTTTGATGTATGCAATTTACCTGTTTCGCCAGTGCGACTTCCCCTCCCTCAGAACATTCCTGGATTCCGCATTGTAGATATCTGTGAACAAAGTTTGGATATTTACAACCATGCTTGAAACATTTTTGTGACACTATTTAAAAAAAAAAAGTTTTTTTGTAATAACGTTCTGGGTTTATTGAGTTACTAAGGAAATTCTCCACAGTCAAAAATTTTTTATTTACTTTTTAGATGAATTAATCTCTTTAACAGAGCTTTTAAATATAAGTTTTATAAAATCTTTGATTAAAATATTCCATTGAAAAAAGCTCTAGTTCTGAAAAACACAAAACAATTAAAAATAAACATTCCAGTCCTACCGGAACTGATTAAATTTCAATACATTTCATTTCAAGCCCTGTTTTAGAATACTGGTGAATGCTAGCATGACTTTTTTTATGCTTATAAGCTTATAACTTGTAAATAGGGTTCTGCTGTTTTTTCTTCTTTTTTTTTTGTAAGTCTTTTCAGAATATGCAGGAACCTCAGCAGAGGTTACAGTTATCATCATCAAGGGGTTTCAAGGAGAATTGTCCAAAATTTAAATTTGAATAGCCTTATAGAGGGGTGGATTTTGGAATTTAACATAAGATCTTCGAGTATGCAGATGTCCCTACAGTGTTTCGAAATCATTGGAACAAAAAATTGGTTAAGATAATCAAAACAAATCTTGTGTATAAAATTTTTTTTTTTTTTTATTGAGAGAAAGAAAAAATACATTTTGCCTCAATTAAGGGCATTGAGTATTTATGATGAATGAAGTACAATCATACCATATATACAATAAAAGAACAACAAGATTATAAGAAAATAAAATAAAATAAAACTTGGAGTAACAGAATAAATCAAACTGTGTATAAAATAAAATTAAACGATGAAAATAAACATATATATATATATATGTATATATATTAGGCATTAATATTAGGCAGGGGTGCCTAGATGGCGCAACTTGTGTCATCAACATTTTTGAGGGGCCGTATTTTGCCAGGTTTTTAAATGTTTAAACATTTTGGCGGGGTTGTGAATTTTCTGAATGAAAAGTTCCATACTAAGGGACAAGGGAAAAACATGGAACAGACGGCTACAAGTATAGTTGTGTATGACTACGATTTTTCTAATTATACCTTCGGTTGCTCTGTTTTAAAAAAAAAACTGCGCAATGAAATATCTTGGGAGTGGGGAGAAATGGGTTCTTGCGCCATAGACCTTGGGAGGAATGGGCACCTTTTGGCATTGTTTGGAATCAACCTATTGTTCTATTTTATTTATGCTATATTCTACATAGTCTTTATGTTTTATATACTCATACATATTTTATTACAATTAAAGCTTGGTGCATATAAGATATGTGTAAATGTAAGGAACATATAAGATACACCTAATAGAATATTTCTGATTATGGAATGTTACTGAACCAACCATGTAGCATTGAAGTGTATAAATAAAACTTTTTTAGTTTTCTGATATACACAAGAATAATTTAAAAGTATCAAAATTAAAAAATAAAATAATATGAGAAACTTTTAATTTTTAAAGCTTGTAATATTAAACTTCTAGTTGAATGCTAGGAACTTAGTTCCAATTTTGATTGGGAGATCCTCACTCTTTAAAAGGCAGATTTACCTCTGTAACAAATGGTTGAATCCGGCAAGTGTACTTATTGTTCCTTAACAGTATTATAACAACTATATCAAACTTCAACAATACTTAATTAAATGAGAAAAAATACTAATAGCCTGTATCTAAAAAAAAAACAAAAAAACATTGCATTTAACTCCATGTATGGGTTTGAGATCGATAATAAATAAGCTGGAATTTTAAAAATTGTATTGTACTTAGAGGGAACTGGGAAAAAGGGGGAGGCTAAAGATATCTGCTCAGAAGGCAGTCCAGATTTTATCAATTTTTTTTTATTTTAATTTAAACCAGTTAGAGATTGAAATGTAGATCATGATGGCTGAGCATGTTAACACTTTCAAGTCTAGCAGCACTTGCTTGAATCCGGCCTGGGTTGGAATTTATTTTGTAGTAGACCCATAGAATAAATCTCGACCTACCCATTCTGGTTAGTTTGGTTGTACTTCTCGAATTTGTACTTTGGAGTTGTCCTTCTCCAGTTTGCAATTAAGGTAAGGTATGGAGTAATGGTAAAAAGAAATAATTCAGATTTGAACTTTTTTATTTTTATGTATCTAGCAAATTTGTAAAAGAGCTTAAAATTTTTCCATAATGTTTATACTTGTAATGTAATTTAATAGGAACTAATTACCTGTACATTTTGTAAATATAACCTGAGCGAATTTGAAATATTTATAATATATTTTCATTTTAGATTTGACTTTTTAAGAGGTTTCCCAGAAATATGGCCAATTGAACCTATGAGTGCTGAAAGTAGAGTCAGGCTCAGAATTCCATCTGAATATCCTGATGGACAGTATCCTCCTGGTCCACGAGCAAGCAAGTTCCGCCTTATGTTGGAGCACTGACTATGTTATGTCTCGTTCAGCTAGACTTTAGATTGTTGGAAAGATATTACTACGTCTTTTATAATTGTTTCTAAAATAAATAATAACTGGAAACAAATTTTTATTTGGTTTTAATAAGAAGTATATATCAGTCATATAACCAATATACAAAATAAAAACTTATTTTCTAAAACTAAAAACAATTGAGTTCTTTTATATTTACAAGTTTTTACACAATTTGTCATGATAAAAAGTAGATTTATTAAAAGTCATAAGTTCTACAAATTTTAAAATATTTTTATTAATAATACTGATTAATATTACTATATATTTTGCTATAGCATAGGTTTTGTAGGTTTGTATCAGAGGGAATGGTTTTTATTTTGAATTTAATAATGACACGTTTAATAAATAGAATTATAATTTTTATATGATATTAATTTTTATACATATTGTAACTATAATAATGAACCTTTATATGCAATTATTATAACAGTGACATAGCTATTCTTTCTCCTGCCAATCGAATTCTTCCAGTTTATTATAAAAAGCTGAAATATTTATCTTTTAGGCGACAATTGGTTTTGCCTCACTCCTTCCTAATTTTTATCTCTATAGTTTTACTTTTTGGCTGAAGGTGCTTTGTACCTTATTTAGAAACGAAAGCCATGTTATAGTCTGGTCCATTTGTCTTCTTTTAATGGTTTTATGATTGCATCTACTTAACCTAATGAAGGACTTTTCTAAGTCTGCACATATTAATCGACTGCTTTGTTTATTAGATTCTTGATATCAATAATATTTTAAGGAGCTAAGCATTAAATTGTTTATTTCTGAATTCCAGTTATATTTATTGACATGAGAACTCATTAGGTGCATTGAAACAACACAAGTCCTATTATATGTCAAAAATAGTTGCCTAACAAGTGTATAACATTCTGATTTCAGAGAGGAAATTCATCAAGTCACTTTGTGATTTAAATATCTAAAATGTTAGTTATTGACATTTTGCAATAAACCCACTGTTTGTTCTATAATTGATATGGATAATGATGAACCTATATCAAAAGATAAAACTAAAATAAAAAATTATATGTACTTATATGTAAATAATGATCTAATTACTGGTGTTTTAGAACTAAAAAACTATAATTGTATTTCATTATCTGCTTCTTAGTCATAACGAACATTATATTGGTGCCATTATTGACCCCAAATTAGTTAATAGATAATAATTTTCTGAAATGATGTGATCAATCCAGTCTTAATTCTTTAATGACATTTTCTAGAGATGGTATAATTAGTGTTCTCTTGGTTTATAATTAGTTCCATGTCTGGAGCGTTTTCATCAAGTTAATGGAGAGCTTTATAAAACATCTCTTCATTCATAGAGAGAGATTGCAACTATGTAAACTTTGTCTTTCTTCCAAGTGCTTGTATCACATAAGTAAAAATAGTATCCATGCTGATAGGTTTAAAGTAATCAACTTGATTAACAGTGGCTGGTGCTATCTCCCACCAACAGATCCAGGATTTAATTTTGGGGAGTTTCAGCCCAAAAGATTTTTTTCATACAAATATATTAGAATAATTACTTCGGAACAAAGTAAGAAACTAACTACCCTTATGAAAAGGTCTTTAAGTGATTATTTAAGTCCTATTAACTGTAATTAGACGAACAGTAATACTTTTAGAGATAATTTTTTTTCATAAAATATGGTCATATTTCACCATTTTGGGGGAGAGCTTCAGCACAAAAGCCCTCAAAGACTTTAATGGCACAACTTGCGCCATGACACTACCTCCTGTTTACCTCTGATTCTGAAGAACAATTTATATGCTAGCAATAGTATTATTTTATTAATAATAAATTTTCCTCCCTAGCAATTAAGGTAACATTTGTCACATAATATTGGTAACTCGGTGTTATGACGTATTGTGATTTTCTAGCCCTTTTCTGACCAAATGCTTAACACCCCTTGGAACCAATCTTGTCATTATTTAAAGGTTACTATGATTTTTTTTATTTTTTCCACGAGTTAAAAGTGATACTGGTATGGATTTTCTGTTAAATTTAATTGTGGGAAGGCTACATAAAATTATATGTCATTTACGCCTCTTCTCTAGCGTAACTTAAGTTGAATACTCCCCGAGATGTTTTTTCTCGCCATATTTGAGCTATTTCACAATAGAAATATTTTTATTTTAATGAAATTTACAACTGTATTACGTGGAAAATACAACAAGTAAATGTGACATTGGTAACATGGCATGTACAACATGAAGAGAAAATACCCATTGGTAAAACTCAAATTAAAGTTCTATATTAGAAGGTCCTGAGGCCATCTTCTTTTCAGACGCCTCGTAGGGTTATCAGGGATCGAGGAGGAAGCTAGGTTTGAAACGAGAGGATTCGGATGGTTCTGCAGTTTGTTATGGAATGATAGGTATCTGGATTGGGCCGAATCGAAAACATATGGAACATTAAGATCTTTATGGATGATTTTATTTGTGACAAAGTAAGGAGCATTGAGGATTTTACGAAGGATTTTGGATTGTAAGGATTGGATACGAGAGGAATTCGATGGTTTAGTGGAGCCCCAAA